TAAATGTTGCAAAACTAGAATTAATTAAAAAAAGAAAATCAGAATTCTATGAGGATATCTCATCCCGCCCATATACTAATGTCAGGGCGAAGCTAGTAAGAGCTCAGAAAATTCATCCAACTTTATTTGTTAGAAAAATTACATTATTTATATACACATAATATATATGTTATTGAATTCCTTCAGCTTCATATTTTAAAATTTTTTAATGAAAATTTTAGTTTCGCCGTCAACTAACACACTCGTACTTTTTAAGGGTCCAGCTGCATAGAAAAAAACAAGAATTGAGTGGATATTTGATAATTTTTCTCTCAAGTGCTAGAGACGGAAAGGAATCTAGAAAAGTAAAGATAAATTAAATTAAATACGTAATAGCAACAACCAACTACATAAATTAAATAAAGTGGCAATCACTTTAATTTCCTAATAGAAAATATATATCAAAACATTTTTAATCCTGATTAGTAATACCTAAACATTTAACTCCCATCCGATTTGCTAAATCACAAATTGGGACATGGTTATATACATAAGAATACTACAAATTATACATTTATACCTTACTTTTTTATTATTAGGGCCAACAATATTCTCTAATAAAAAATTAAATTAACTGATCTAAAAATTATTTCGAGTATCAAAAAGAAATTACCCCCAACTTCATCCCCCGAGAAAAAAAAAAGTCAAATAGTAATTGAACTTCATAAGTAATATAATTTGATTACTTTTTGTTATTGTTTAATTTAGAATTAAATTATATGTGAATATGTGATCACGTTCATTTTATGAAAAGTAGTAAACCTCCCCAAAATATCAGTGTCGTTAAGGCCAAATTAGCTTTAATTTGGAGATATTAATGTTAACAATCGACATATGTGACCCTACTAGTTGCACAAATGCAGGTCCAATTATTTGTAATAAATAAGTTTCAGATTATGAACTCATATTTTAAATTTAGCTTTTAGATTTCAATATTGAATTATGAGTATATTAAATGTCTGTGTTCTTCATTGTATTTTCATTATAATTAATTAGCCCATAAAAGTCTTAATAAATCATTACTTTAAGACATTGTCAACGAGATTGATTGGGTACTCATTCTATTCTATAAAATTGATTAGTAGGCATGGGACACAATATTTTAGTTTATGTTCTTTTTACAAGAAAATTTCTTTTTTATATACACGAATTTTTATTTGTATATTTATGCAAGGGATTTGAAAATATTATTTTCTTGAATATTTGTAAGAGCGGAACAAATCTTATTTCCTCAGAGTTAGGTATACAATATACACTTCACAAATTTATTTTAAGTTTTGTGGTTTCTAAAATAAATAGAAAATCTAAAAATAAACACACAAGATTTGGAAAATGTCATTTTCTTCGAGGTCATTTTTTCATCCTTCTTACGGCTTAAGTCGGCTGATTTTTGTAGCGTCTTTTAAATTAAACAATATTAATATCAATATTATAATAAAGAATTCATATGAATCATTATTTTTAAAAAATATATAAAATATTAAATGTATAAATAAAAGCAAACGGACAATAATACTTCATGAAACAAATTATAGGCTCAATGAATTCCAATTTTTTTATTTTTTTGTTAGTAAAAATGGATTCCAATTCTAAACCACGCCTACTATGTACATCTTCAATCTAAGTTTAATTTAATATCTTAACAAGTAAAAAATCGACAACACATCTTCTCAAAAGATTAGTTATTAGTAGCAAAGTTACATTTTAGTTATTAGAGTTTGGAATAATTACTTCTTGATATTAGCATTCTTGTTTTTTGAGTAAAAAGCTACTAAGCACTATATATATATATATATATATATATATATATATATATATAAAAAGTTGCACCTTCTTAAATAATTTTCGAGGCTGATAAGGTTATAGTGTGGAATAATTTTAAATATTTTTTTATATTTAATTTTACCTGTTCAATATTAATTTATTATATCAATTTTAAATATTATATATTGTGAAATATGATTATAGTAATAAATTAAAGATAAAAGGAATTAATGTGATAAATTGTGTCTTATTATTTATTTTTTTCAATTTCTAATACTTCTAGTTTTTTTTTTCTAGGTACTTTCTGTGCATGCACTAGAACCCCACTTTCTAATTTTCTACACTCTTTTTTTTCTATAGGCTAAACTAAAAAGAAATAGGGTGATAAAAGCTGACATTATGGGAATATTCACAAACTAATACTATTACGCACGTGAAGATCACTTTAAGGCAGTTTTGGTTAAAGGAATTAGGTAGGTTATGTTAATTTAAATTTTGAGATTAAGTTCACGAAGAAAATACGTTATTTGCTATCAGATACATTTTGAAATTCGTATATCTATATATATATAGGGAGAGAACGAGTAAAAAAGAGAGAGACAAACGAAAAATGAGAGAGATGAGCAAGATAGAGGGGAGGTGAAAGAGTATATATATCTCATATACATGTGAATCACTCTAGATACATATGTGTGAATAATCGTGTATAATATATAGAGATCAAACGAGATAGGAGGGAGGCAAACCAAAGAGTCAAGTACATGTAAATTCACTTAGAAACATTGTATTTGCTACAAATTACACTTAATTTTGATCTCATATAGATAAAATAGACCAAAATCTAATCTAATACGAAAATAATTTCAAAAACACACATGAAGATATGTAATTAAATTATAAACTAATGAAATTTGTGTTGTTTGCCTTAATTCTGTTCTAAATAATTAATAAAAATTCATCTTTAAAATATCTAATAGGAAAATTATTTAACCTATATTAAATGAGAATACTAAGTAGTGGAATTCTTATCATTCCTAAATTTAAGCTTAATGGAATGACCACAAATCTATAATTAAACACGATCAATCATATATCCTAACAAATTTCTAAATGCCTCGAAATTAGCCTGAACAAGTTGACTACATTTCAAATAAAATTAACCGTTTCCTATAAAGTCTCCTTCGACTATAATAGGTTAACTGTTACACCATACATAATTTATATCTTATATACTATCTAAATAAAGCATACATAAAAGGGAAAATCGTATAAAATAGCAAACTAATAATCTAAATTAAATGGAATAGCTAGGGTTTTGATTTAATTGTGCTCCATAGCAAACGTTGACAAAAATTTGCCAGGCGTCTCTCTCCCAGAAGTCTCGCTCGCCACTCTCCCATTCTCGCCTCTCTCGCTTTATACACAGAAGTGTATAATTTCTGTTTCTGTTTTGTATAAAGCGAGAGAAAATTGTATATACACATGTAAAAATGTATATCTTCGTGTTATACACTTAATTATATAATTTACAAACATTTTACTTCAAATATTGCAGAGAAAAAGGCCAAAGAATTATACAATTGCAGTGAAATACAATTTTTTTTAGTTTTATACAACAGAAGTGTATATATTGTGTTTCTGTTTTTGTATAAAGCGAGAAAAACATATATCTTCTTGCTATACACTTATAATTATGCAATATACATACATTTTAATTCGATTCAACTGTATGCAAAGCTAATTATACAATTGCAGCGAAATAGGCCAGCGAATTATACAATTTTAGGCCAGTGAATTATACACTTTTATATGTATAGCGAATTATACAGTTTTTATGTTTGCTATGGAGCGCAATTATGCAAAGTTTGCTATATTATACAAATATGATTTTTTTGTTTGCTATATGTGAAAGTTGCCCTACATAAAATCTGTTGTTTTAAAATTTTAACATTTATGTACTATTGTATAATGAGATAGTGAAATTTTTAATCAAATTAAGTTATTATTTAAACTAGTTCATCAAAATAATACATTTTTATTTTTTTTACAAAACGAGTATAAAAATATTTCTGAGTAACGTTTTAGGGTACTTTTGTTTTAAAAATTTAACTGATGAGACGACGACGTTAAATGAATAAACGTACTCTTGAGTAACATTTCACACCTAAAACATTACTCAAAAGTACATTTTTGGGGCTCTAAATAAAAATCAATTATTTTGTCACGCCACTGTAATTTTTATCAGTTGTGAATTTTAATTTCAAACTCATTTGAACCCTTTGATTGGAGTTGTTGTCTGCATTTGGTTGTATCCTACATCTGGCATGACTTATTACTTATAAATGTGTCCTAGCTGGTGTTGATGTGTTGTGTTCAATAATGAGAAGACTTATGGTTGCTCTTTGTGCTTTCGGAAGATTTCACTTTAGATCTCTTAAATCACAGGAAGAAGGGTTTGGAATTTCCCTAATTGCAGAAGGGTTTTAGGCAAATGCTTTGAAATTAAAAATTACAATTTAAGGTAATTGGAAACTCACAATCGATAAAAATGACACTCTGTATTTCAGTAGAGATGACAAATAATTGATTTTTATTAAGAGTATCGATTTATCCTAAAAACGTCTGAGTAATGTTTTAGGTATAAAATGTATTCAAAAGTATGTTTTTTATTTAACGTCGTTAGTTTTTATCAGTTAAATTTTTAAAATAAAAATACCTTAAAACGTTACTCAGAAATATATTTATAATAATTTTATAAAAAAAATTAAAAACATATTATTTTAATGAATTAGTTTGGTCAAAAGTCTTGAGATATTGACAAACTAGCATAGTAAGGACAAATCACATAATCGATCGGCTAAAGTAATTGCATTTATCAGTCAAATACGCACACAAATAGGTCAAACAAATATCCGTTGTTAAAATAAAATTTAACATCAATTTTAAAGGTATATATATATATGAAAAAATATGTATTTGATGACAATTATTTTGATGGACATTTATTTATGTCAATTTTATATAATTACATGGGCACTTATTTGAGTATATTAATTATTATATAGAATTGAATATATATGATATAATTATTTATACATAATATTGGTATATCAAATATACTATAAATAAACAACATATAAACTTGGGAAGTTAGTTAGATGAGAGAGAATGTGAGATTTTTTTTTGAATTTCAAAGAATACATTTTGGTTGGCATAATCCTACTTTGAAGTTCATTGAAATATTTTAGGATATAAATTCCTCAATTCAAATCACTTGTTCGATGGCAGCCCAATAAGTACGAAACAGGGCTTAAAGCCCATTAATAGCCTCTATATAAGATAGTCCCAACTAATATCCTCAAATGAAACCCTAATTTTACTTTCTCCGCCTCATTCTGGGCAGCTAACGACGCCGGAGTGTAGTATTGATTGTTAAGTTCTATCGGATTGGTAAATTTTATGATTTTTTTTTCTCTAATTGTGATTTGATTTGATTTTCGTTTTCTACTTTATTGATTTCTATTATTTTTTTCGATTTTTGGTTTTGAGAAAGCCCAATGATGGAAAATCTATGTATATTGAGCGGCTGTGATGGTTATAGATTCATCCGTTGCCTTTATGCATCACCTGAATATCAGCGGCAACCGCCATTCTTTCTCCCTTTCCTTGTCTCCTTCAACATCACACACTAAAGCACACTTGCACTTTTGCCGCTGATGTTTATGGTGATGTATGAAAGGCTTCTGATGAGTTCCATCACGATTTAGCTGTCTGTGATTTTGAAGCTATGAGATCTGAGGGCTCTTTTACAGTTTTATTTCTCTCAAATATTCAGTACAGATACAATCCCCTTTGTGGGTGTATAAATTTGCATAACCACTAATTATTTGTAATTGCTTGTGTTTTGTATAATTAATGTGAATTTTTAAAATAGGGTTCGAGTGATTTTAAATGTCTTACAGTTCATAAACTAATGAAATCAAGTTTATCTGACATATAATGAGCAAATTACAAAAAATTTATTCAATAATTATTATATTTAAATTATAATTTTGTTATTTGACTACTCTTCCATAAAGCATAGGAAGATTTTGCGCACACGACAACGAGAAAAAACTGATTATGATTAAAAAAATGTTTTGTATATTGAATGGTGTAAATAATATTTATTAAATTACGGGTTATCTCAAACCTTATATGAAATAATAAAAAAAAAATCGATGATTGATATTTTAAAAAACTAAAAGCATTACTGGAATCACTCTCTGTCTGCACCTTTTGGTAGCCATTGGTTTTGCATCACGACGTTCCAAAGAGTAACGCTGCCGCAACAAGTAGTTTTAATAGTGATTCCCATTTTTGCTACTCTAGCATCAGTTGGGAGCCTATCTTAACTCATCCCAAAATTTTTTATGAAACAGAGAGAACGATGAGCAAGAAGAAAGAATTTTAATTTTTTGGATTGTTACACTAGGATTTTGAATTCTTGATAATAATTTTGAATGGAATAACGTATTTTGTGAAATTTTAATTTAATTTTCAGTTTTTCTCCTTAATTAGTGGAACAAATAGATACTATAAGATTATAAATTGATTTTAATGTTTTTTTTCTCTTAATAAGTGCAATACTATAAGATTATAAATTGATTTTATACTTTTTTTCTCTTAATAAGTGCAACAGAGATAGAAAGTAATTTAGAATTTACACTATGGTATTTATGTAATGTATACTTGATATTTTATGAGTCACGTCGGGCTAGTCCATTTTTGGTGTGGACTTAAAAATAGTCGGTTCAACCTACAAACATGTGGGCTAGGCTGGATGGGCCAAACTATTTTTAAAAAATTATATATTTTTTAATTTTAATCTAAATTACAAATTATAATTTAAAAATATTATCATAAATATCAATAAAATAATATCACACGATGTTAATGTTACTACTTTTTAATCAAATTCACGAATAAAATTGTCTTTATAAAAATATTTGTTAAGGTAAGTTACCATTTTAAAAAGGGAAAAATGGTCTGATATACCCCTCAACTTTGTCATTTAGAGCTGATATACCCCTTGTTATGAAAGTGACTCATATATACCCCTACTTGTAAACACATGGCTCTCATATACCCTTTTCCTCTAACGGAAATGAAAAAAATAATAATTTTAATCTAAATTTTTATTATTTTTTTCTAAAAAATATAATCCCATATGAGTAAATTTAATCCTCGTCAAACATATTTTTTTTTGACTTTTTTTTGTTTCAGTGACTAATTTATAATTATTATTTTGATAATCAAATTTATTTATGTTTCACTAATTAAAACTTATTGTAGATGACCAAATTTTTTCTTCGAATATAAAATTAAATTACAATACACACATAAAAAAATAGTTTAACTTTTTATTCTTTAAACTAAGGAATGAAAGAAAAAAGACAAAATAAGAATAAGAAATTCAAATAATTATAATAAAAGAAGTCAAAAAATAATTTATATATGAAAAAAATTAAAATATACCTTGAACTTTGATAGAAGAATCATATAAACCCCTAAATAATTTTTTTAAAAAAATTAGAAGTAATAAATATAAATTTAAAACTAATTTTTTAACTTCCATTAAATGAAGGGTATATGTGAGCCATTTTGTAACGGCAGGGGTATATGTGAGCCGTTTGTATAACGGTAAGGGCATATATGAGCCACTTTTATAACGAGGGGTATATCAGCTCCAAATGACAAAGTTGAGGGGTATATCAGACCCTTTTCCCTTTTAAAAAGGGAAAAATTATACGGATAAGCAAACTTATATTATCTAATTACTCATCACAGCTATAGTTTGCTATAATTACCACTCGCGACTAACATTATACATTAATTACGTGGGCTAACTTCGAATTTGTATAATTAGTCATTTTTGTATATGTATAATTTCTCAGAATATACAAATAAATATGCATAATATACAAGTTTTTAGTCTATACACATATATAATTCACCGCTCTCCCACACTCTACCCTCTCTCGCTTGCCTCTCTCCTCTCTCTCCTAGTCACGCTTGCCTCTCTCCTCCCTTTCGCAATCTCTCTTGCCATATATACAATTACATATGTATAATATACAATTATCTAACAAATATACATATATAATTAACCTTTCTCCCACTCTTTTCCCCCTCTCTCTCGTCTCTCTCCTCTCTCTTCCAGTCTCACTCGCCTCTCTCCTCTAAATAACATGTATCTATAAATTGTAATTATCAAATTATAACTATGAAGAGTAAATTATTATTTTTTTAAGTGGCTATATGTGAAAGTTTCCCATTAAAAAAATTTATTAAGTTTTTTTTAAGTATGAATAGTTATATAGAAATATTAACCTAATTGTTTTGAGTTTAAACTCTCTTTAATTTTAGGGCAACTTTCACATATAGCAAATAAAAAATTTATATTTGTATGTTATAGCAAAATTTGCATAATTGCGCTCCATAGCAAACATAGAAATTGTATAATTCGCTATACAAATACAGTTGAAGCAAATTGTATAAAACGAAGTGTATAAAACAAGAAAGAGAAGAACACTTTGGCAGAGAACTGTATAAAAACAAAGTGTATTATCATAAGTGTATAGAACAGTTATATACAATTTGAATTTGTATAAAATGAGAAAGAGAGAAAGACAAAACAGACTTGACAAGGAATATACAATTGAATCGAATTGTATAAAACAAGAAAGAGAGAAATTAGATACAATTTGAAAATTGTATAAAACAAGAAAGAGAGCAAGCAAAAGAAACTGGACAGAGAAGTATTTTATTGTATAATTATAAGTGTATAGGACGAAAATATATGTACTTGCATGTGTATATACAATTTTCTCGCGCTTTATACAAACAGAAAACGCAATTTATACATTTCTCTTCTGTTTGTATAAGTGAGAAAGGCGAGGGTGGCGAGCGAGATTTGGGAGAGTGGCGACCGAGATCTAGAAGAGGGGAGAGAGGGGAACAAAAATATATGTATTTATACAATTTTCTCTGCTTTATACAATTAGAAACAATTTTTATACGCTTGTGTTTTGTATAAAAAGTGAGGAAGCGAGCGGAGATTGGAGGAGAATGTCGAGAGATATTTGGGAGAGAGGCCATGACAATTTTCTGCAAACGTTTGCTATGGAGCACAATTAAATCAAACCCTAGCTACTCCATTTATTTTAGGTTATTAGTTTGTTATTATATATAATTTTTCCTTAATTTTATTATATTTTTCAATTAAATTTTATTGGCCCACGATCCGGCCCTACCGATATTTCTCAAGCCTCTCAAATCAACAGACTTATTCAAGACGGGCTAAAAAGCCTTTTTCTTAAATGGGTTCCAAAAATCTTAGCCCAGCATTACTAAATTTCGGGTCAGGCCGGCCCAACGGTCCTAGCCCATATTGACGGCTCTACAGAGGCTGATAGGTCTAAGCTCTGAGAGGTGCTGTGGAAAACTCACCTTGAGAATAAGAACAATATTTGAGTGAGTGAACCTTATAGGCAAGGTAGATCCACAAAAGTAAGCATTCATGGTTTGAGTGATATCAGGGCCAATAATCGACCAACAACTTGGAAAAAATTTAGCACTGAATCCATCCGGTCCTGGGGCGCTATCTGGATCCAAAGAGAAAACGGTTTCTTTGATCTCTTTGTTAGTAGGAAACGCAGTCGACAACCTATTGGTGTCATCTATAATAGAGGCTTCAATGAAATTCAGTTATGAGAAATCATTCCTATCAGGATTCTGGCAAAAAATGCCTTGAAAGTATTTCACAGCTGCTTCAGCTACCCCCTTGTTTCCTTTTACCCATTGCCAATGTTCATCTTGGATCTTGTTGATTTGAAGTCTTCTTCTTTTGTCTTTCAAACATTATGAAAATAAGAGTTGGTGTCACCCTCAGTAAACTACTTGACTTTTGCCTTTTGTCTCATGATAGAATCTTGAATTTTAAGATACTTGCTGTGATTAGCCTTATGTGATGTTCCGCCACAATTCCAGCCTGATTTGGCGTCCGAATATGAGCAGAAGGATCTAGAGTTGTGAAGAGGTTTGCAGAGAACTCTAGAACCTTCTAGATTTCTGGAGAAGACTAGAGAATTCTCTAGAATACTTTAGATACTTTTGAAAGAGATTAGCATATTCTAGAAAGTGTAGAATTCTCTAGAATATGGACTAAAATGTAAATATTTTAGGGACTTGTAGAGTAATTTTTATTTACACTTAGACCCTTAGGAGGTAGTATAAATAGAAGGGCCTCTCATTTGTAAATGCATCCAACCAAAACAAAATTGTAAGCAAGTTTTCCAAGTATAATACAAGTCTTCTTCCAAAGTTCTTTCTAAGTCATTCTTTACATTCTCTTAATGATCTAAGTCTTAAAGTCTTACTTGAGCTTACAAGATCGTGAAATATTCGTGAGTAAGTTGTCAAGTGCCGCACGGAGTCTTAGCAAATACTCTAAGTCCGTGACACTTAACCTTTTTCAAATTGGTTCTATTGGTATCATTAGTCCCCGCTAGATTGACTTGTTCAAGATCCACAATGTCCTTTTCAAGCTTTTTGGTCTCGTTATAGATATTACCATAAACTTCTCTAGACCAGTTGCTCAACCTCGAGGCTGTAGTTTTGAGCTTTTGGTGTATGCTCCACATTTTGGATTACCTTGAACCTCAAGTAGGCAAGCTTCCTTGACAACGTCCAGGAATAACTCATGTTTTGTCCAGACATTAAGAAATTTGAAATATTTCTTATGCTCGTCTTCTTTGTCATTAAGTTTGATCAAAAGTGGAACATGATGTGAGCAAACCCTTGCCAAGTGAGTGACTGATGTTTTTCCAAACCAAGAAGCATTGTATAACATCCTGTCCAGCTTTTTCAAACTGTATTGGGAGCCCCTCTATTATTGCTCCAAGTGAATTTAGCCGCATCCTGGATCCCCGAATCAATCATACAGTTGAGGA